TCCCCTCCTCCTCCTCTCTACTCTCCCCTCCTCCTCCTCCCCTCCCCCCTCCGTCTTCTTCTCTCTCCCTCCCCCAAAAGGCGGTAGTACTCCGATCATCCTTCCTTTCGTTTAGCTTGTGTCCCAGTGTCCACCTCAAAACGGGTCCGCTCCTATCACTACAGTGATCACGTCCAATCCTCTGGGTCTTCCATCTTGTTTCCAGATCTCCCTCTTCCTCCACCCTCGCTTCTTTCCTGAGAACTACATGACTACCCCTTTCCCCCTCTTGTCGAATTGTGTTTCGTACTACATTTTACCCTCCCCATCTAATCAGTCATCCTCCTACCTTACCTACCTTGCCTACCTTACTACCACTACTGCTACCTTACTACCCACCTACTTTACTTTACCTACCTCATCGATCTCACCCCTTGACCTTCCATCATCATCATCATCGATGGACAGAATCACTCCTTTCGCAGACTCAACTTAGTATAACTGCGAATGATGAGCTCCTGGCTATACTAAAACACCCTCGACAATCCCAGGAGATCCTTACACTCCTTCGACACATTCGTTACGAGGAAGACTATCCCGTCGACACTCCTCCATACCTCTCCGGTACCAACCCGGCTGACTCCAATCCCCTCTCCTCCCCTCCCAACCACCTCCACGACTCATCCGACCCGCAAGAGTTCCCTTGGTTTTTCTGCTGGCAGAGACTCGAAAGGAGATAGAAACCATGACTGTCTGCTACGATCATTCCTCCGTGAGGAGCATTGCTCCCGCCTCCGTCGCCTCTCTTGAAGACAGATTCGAAGTCATCAAAGAGGTTGGTGATGGCAGCTTTGGTAGCGTGGCTGTCGCACGTGTACGGACAGCTGGCTCCAATGTTGCACGACGAGGAACCATGGTAAGCTCCTGGCCTATGCCGAGATGCGATGTGAGGTTTGCTGATTCCTTGCTTAGGTGGCGATCAAGACGATGAAGAAGACATTCGAATCGTTGGGTCCCTGTCTGGAGTTGCGTGAGGTCATCTTTCTGCGGACCCTTCCACCCCATCCCCACCTCGTCCCGGCCCTCGACATCTTCCTCGACCCGCTTTCGCGCAAACTGCATATCTGCATGGAGTACATGGACGGCAACCTCTACCAACTAATGAAGGCTCGCGACCACAAGCCCCTGGATCAGAAGCACGTCAAAAGCATTCTATTCCAAATCCTCTCAGGTCTCGACCACATTCACGCTCACCACTTCTTCCACCGCGACATCAAACCCGAAAACATCCTAGTATCTACATCTGCTCCGAACGACTCCGCCTTCAGCCGTTACTCTAACCTCGTCACTCCTCCTTCCACTCCTCCCACCTACACTGTGAAGATCGCCGACTTTGGTCTGGCACGCGAGACACACTCAAAATCCCCCTACACGACCTATGTCTCGACGAGATGGTACCGCGCCCCCGAGGTCCTGTTACGTGCTGGCGAGTACTCCGCGCCGGTGGATATGTGGGCCGTTGGTGCTATGGCAGTTGAAATTGCAACCCTGAAACCACTATTCCCCGGAGGCAATGAGGTTGACCAGGTGTGGCGCGTATGTGAAATCATGGGCAGCCCCGGTAACTGGTACAGTAAGTCTGGGGGCAAGCTCGGAGGTGGTGAGTGGAGAGACGGTTCTCGCTTGGCTCAGAAGCTGGGTTTCACTTTCCCAAAGGTACGAACCATGAACACCGGTGCATCAATCCACCCGATCAAGGCACTAACGCAATATCAGATGGCCCCTCATTCGATGGAAAGCATTCTCCAAGCCCCTCAGTGGCCCGTTGCCCTTAGTCAGTTTGTTACCTGGTGCCTGATGTGGGATCCCAAGAACCGGCCGACTTCTACCCAGGCATTGAACCATGAGTACTTTGCCGATGCCATTGATCCCTTGAGACCGAAATCTTCGACTGCTCGCCTCTTGGGTCGCAAGCACTCCGAGAAGGTCCTCAAGAGTGCTACTCGGGAGCAGAGCGACTCGCCCACACTCACCTACAAGGCGTCTTGGTTCAGGAGATCGTTGATTGGAAGGTCTGAGAGTCCGGTCCAGCCTACGGACAACGATCATGTCGCCAAACCAAGCGTTACCTCCTATCCTTCGGAGCTGCAGCCGAGCAAGACCAGACCCGCGCCAACCAAGCGGGCTACCTGGGCCAATGGCGCTCCCATGCCTATTCTGCCTTCGATTCGGCCTGTGTCCCCCTTGTCCAACGCCGTCACAGCGCAAGCGAATGCATCCCTGGCTCACTCTGGCGACAGCGCGGGGAAAGCCAGCAAGAAGATCGGCCGGCAGTTGTCAGTCAATTCGAACGGCAATCACTATGCCGATGTCCACAGGCAGGAAGCGGAGAGGGCCCTCAATGGTGGAAGCGCAGTCATCACGCCGAAAGAGAGCTTCTTCTCTCACTTGCGCAAGCGTGCTCGCCGGTTATCTGGACGCAACCAGGGCAATGTCTCCGGCGATGATGTGGAATCCAACGCTGGATGCATGCCTTGGTCAAACCGTTCCTCGCTGGCTCTGGACTCTGTCAACGTCAGTGAATCCAAGTCCACCTCCGACTTTGCGGAACTAGACAAGGCCCTACAGAGTGTGAGGCATTCTCTTGATTCCAACAATCGGGGCAATGTTCCTGTGCAGATCACCTCCCATGTGGACGGCACCAAACGCCAGTCCATGCCCCAAGGTTCCATCCGGACAATGGGCGACAGCCCTGTCTCAACAAGTGGTAATGGAGCGCCCATCTCCAGCCGGACTAGGCGTGCAATGCAGATGTCTAACAACCCTATCCACCGCTACGAAACTCCGGAGGAAGAGGATGAGCTTCTTGACGAAGTGCTTCATTCGGCCAGCAAAGCTGCTCGGCGACTAGCACAGGCTGATATCACCTCCGACGGCTCATCCCACTACAGCCACGCCGCTGGAGGTAACGACAGCGGGCGTCCATTGCCAAGCCCTTATCCAACTCCATCGCCTTCCGCCAACTGCGAAGGTGGCTTCTTCGGCCCAGAGACGACTCCATGTCGGCGAGTCCCAGCTGAGAAGACAGAAGCAAACTCCAACCGCCAATGGCCCACACCGCCTTATGACGAAGCCGAATGGACCAAGTCGGCTTCGGCTACCACCAAGTTCATGACCGGATCAGCAACTTATCGGTAGCTTCGGTTTGGCGGGCCATCGCACTTTTCTTTCAACTCCTCATCATCTTTCGTTGAATATGCTTGCATCTACCAAAAAGTCAGAAAATGAGTGGTCATGCGCGTAACCGGCAATCTCGCCGAGCAAAGGCGTACGGGGCATCTGGTGTCTACTGTGTGATTTTATCTTGTGTGAGGACTGGCAGCCTTTTTCTCTTTCATCTTGCATCCTGCGCTTCATTTCCCATACCCGTTTGTATAGCCCGAGGTTTCAGTCCGGGGTTGCCTTTCATTTGTTTGCATTGTTCTCATACCCCAAAGGCCTTATTCATAGATACAGTCGGCCTCGCAACCTGTTTTCGGCATGCCGTTTATTCGTCTTCCATTCATTGACCATTTTTACAACAACATCTGCACATTGCTCATCCCTCGTCCTTGATACCAATTGCGCGAGTCGCAATTCTTACACCCATCTCTCACCCTATATATATATCTGAATTATTCCCCAACATGTCTTACATACTCATACCACCTTTCCTTTTGTCCAAACTCCCTTCATCCCTATGTATATTTCCTGTGGCAATATTCCCTCAGTCATCAAGCCTTCCCCTTCCCCTCCTCCACCCCTCATTGCGCGGATGGAGAGTGCTTTTTCACTTTCCCTCAAAACCTCCCTTCACCTATTGTACAGTTTATGATTTGGCTGAGGAGCATCGGTGGCTGGTCTGGAGCTTCAACATCTTGTAATATAGGATCATCTCGACGACATACTCGTCTATTTATATATACACATCTAATTCCGCAGACGACGTCTGTATGTATCTGCATATATTGTTTTTCCATGTATGAAAGAATGGCAAAGAGTTGGCGGAGTACATAGAAAGGGATATCTTGAGTGATTAAGTAGACAGATCGTATGGAAGATCGAATCCACCGAGACGGAACAACCGTTCCGCCGACATTCCGGCAGAATTTCCCAAAGCAGCACTACGTCAAAAGCTTCAGATCGACTTGTCAATGCTTTAACATTGCAGCCATAAAAGCCTGGCGCGACCGAAAGACTGCTCGGCTCAGCAGGTGATACAGGGCTTCTCAGCTTGAGCTCGCTCGACTCTCTTTGCGACAAAATCTTGCCGCTCAATCACCAAAGCAAGAAACCATCCAGTTCCCAGCACCTCAGTCCTTGATCTCGAATTTCCTCGAAGGGCTGTCGATAGCTGCGGAGACTGGCTGTACCTCTACCCCAACCGAACTTATTTAATATCATCCTTCGGGTCATACACACTCGTCTTTCTGCTTTCCGGACGAGACAAGCCAACCAAGAAAATGTCAACCCAACGACAAGCCACCTCCGCCTCACAAACCCCGCACATCTCCCCCGCCGAACTCTCCTACCTCTACACCTCGCTCAGTCTCCCCCAGAACCCCATCCGACCCGATGGCCGCTCGGCGACGCAATTCCGGCCCCTGACCGCCGAGACCGATCTGCTGCCCGGCACGAACGGCAGCGCGCGCGTCGGGTTCGCGGACGGGACGCAGGCGATCGTCGGTGTGAAGGCCGAGGTGGAGCGGACGGTGGTGGGTGCTGCGGCCAGTTACACTCTTGCAGAGGCCGAAGGCGCGGGGGATCTTGATGGGGAGGGTGGGGAGGGGTCGGGTTCTGCCGCTGGTGCTGGGGCTGCTACGGCCGGTCATGGGTCGTGGGTGCAGATGAGTATTGAGATCCCTGGGTTTCGGGACGACGATGCCCTGCCTGTGTTTCTGGCGGAGATGATGCGGGAGCCGTTGGTTGAGAGTGTCTCTTCTGGGGGTAAGGGTGGTAACGGTAGTGAGGGAGGGGAGATGGAGGGGGGTTTGAAGGGGCGGTTGGTGATTAATCGGAGGTGGCATTGGCGGTTGTATATTGATGTAAGAGATTGCGTGCTCCCTCCTTTTTTTTGTTTCTGTTGGATTGGAGTCAAGTCCAATTGCTAACCAACGACCGACGAAACAGGTATTACTGCTATCGCAACCACTCTCCTATCCTCTCCCCCTGTTGTCCCTGACGACACATCTGGCGCTTCTGGCGACGAAACTCCCCAAGTTGAAATCCAAGGGCGAGGAGGATCCCTTCTTCGACGATGACTGGAATGCGGCCGAGTATTTGTACCCGAGGGCTTCATCTTCGTTCCCCAAGTTCGGCGGTGGCACGGCGACAGGTGGTGTTCCTCCTCCCGTGCAACATTTCCGGCCGCCGGTGACCCTTCTGGTGATCGCCGTGGGCGACAATGTCATCTTCGATCCGAACCGCGAGGAGATCGCTGTCGCCGATACCGTGCTGGCCATCTCGGTGACGCGCGATGGCGGTGCCGAGGGCGGCCTGAAGTTGTTGTCGATCCGGACGATTGATCCCCCCTCGCGGCTGACGCAGCCTGGGGTGCCAAATTCCGAGAATGTGGCGACGCTGGGGGCTACGGCTGGTGCTGCTGGCTCGGAGGAGCAGCAGTCGGCGGCGGTTCTGAATTCGGTGACGGGCGAGGAGGAGGTTCCTGGCGTGTGGAGGCCTCGTCGCGGCGGGGTGAAGAGGCGGACGGTGGCTAAGATGGTCAAGTTGGTGCTGGAGAAGGGTGGGGTTGGTGAGGAAGTTCTGGAGGGTTTGGAGAGTGTGGAGGTTGGTTGAGCGGTTCGGGAGGGCTTGGATGGTGCTTGTCGCTCTGGGTGGCTAAAATGTCATCCCACATGGCAGACACATCTTCTGGGCTTGTTTGCGAGGAAAGGGAAGCGCATATCCGCCTAAAAGAGCGTGATTCTAGACCACAGCGATAACTCGCCCGATGCTTAGCCCCCGGTAGACACGAGCACAACCCGCCGAGGAGGATAGAAAGCTAGTAGTATTGTACATAGACCTAAGATATGCTAAAAATCTTCCCCAACTATATTCCTCATCTTACACATTGCAGTACCTCAGGGCTCTGTAGTTCGACCCCCGATTGTACCAGATGGATAGATCCGGTACCAGCCTACCAAATACCCAACCACTTCTTCACGGGCCTCTTCTTCCCCTCCCAATCGACATATGTGCCGTCGCCGGCCTCCTCCTCCCGAGCAATAGGCGACTGATCATCGACCGCCTCCGCGGCAGCACCCTCAGCAGCACCCTCCGGCGCCTCCTCCAACCCATGCGCAATCCGATACTGCCGGCGCTTCTCGGCATCCTCGACGCGCTGCCGGCGCTTCTCGCGCGTCTGCTGCGACGAATGCTCGACATGCATCCGGAACACCGCGAGCGCCTGGCCCACTGTATCGAACGGATGCGACAGCAACCCCGACCACGAAGGGAGCAGATGCGCGAACGGCGACGACCGCTTGAAGTTCGTGGTAAATGTGAACGTTGCCAGGGAAGTGAGGACGCCCTATGGGTAGCAGCCGTGGTTAGTATTTACTAAGGTATCTTCAACGAAAACTGTGCAGTACGCAGCTTCCCCAAACTCTGCTCAACCCAACCAAACCCCCCCCGGGATGCACAGGATAAGCTCACCATAGCAATCCAAACATGAATCCCCCGATTCGTCAGAAACTTATGCGCCACCGTCCCCTCGGGCGGGAACATGTTGGGGTACTGTTTCTTTCGCTGGGCCTCCTTCTCGGCCTCCGTCAGGCGCGGGCCGTAGTGCACCGGGTCGGCGTTCACAACGCGGCCATTGCTGGTGCGCACCACGCGCCGCTGCGGGTGCGACGGCGGCCGGAATCTGTCCGGTTGCGGGAGGACGATCGGTTTGTCTTTGGTCTTGGGGGAGGTGGGTTTGCTGGAGGCGCAGCGGCGGGTTGTTACGGTGCTGCTTGTGGTTCGGGTGGTGAGGGCTTGTTGGAGGGTTCGAGAGGTGGGGATGCCTCGTGGGAGGAGGAAGCGCGGGATTCGGATTGTGGTTGTTGGTTGCATCTTTTTGGTTCGAAGGTTGGTGAGCTGGGGTGGAGGGTTGAAGGTGGAGGAGGGTTGTTTGTGGATGCAGTGCCAGGTTGATTGATATGCCTGATACGGGCAATTTTCTTGACCGGGGAGGAGGTGGTGCCGGGCGGTGTGAGCTTTGTGATCTAGTCACGTGAGATGACGGACAGTCGTGATACTACGGCTACTAGGCTGGGATTCGTTTGTTTTTTTTTTTTTTGGCCAAGCTTCAGGCTGGTCCGAAAGAAATATGTCAAGCATAATGCACTGCGATAATCGAGGACGCCGTGTGTGTTATACAGCTACGTACATTGCACTGCGTAAGTCATTGAATGGCATGGACATCGTCCCGGCGCATCGCATGTTTACTTGACCGGGCTGCGATTGTTGCTACGTACACAGTACAGTACTTACGGTTATCGATGCGACGGAGCGGAACAACGTAAGCCCAACGCCAAGTCGGTCAGACTCGGAGGACGAATGACCGTCCAGGCATTTGCAAATGTTGCTCCGTACCCCCGAATCTGCCCCGGGCTCTGGTCTGATCTGGTCCGGGCACCAAAAGTTGAGGCAAAGGCAATGGCAAAAATGATGTAGTGCTTTCACCATTCTCATATCATCCCCTATCGCCCTAGAGTTCCATTGTTCAGTCTCGTCCTGAACCATTCTTTGGTGATTCTACACCCATCGAATTCAACCGATTGGTTGCGGGATCCCGAAGGCACGGCAGACAGAGTCAGCAGGAATGAGCGTAGAATGAGATCATACCTCATAACTTAACTTACCTCCCAGGTAGGGGTCGAGCACACGGGCGAGGGGGAGAGAGAGGTTTGAATAGTAAATCCATTAAGAAACACTAGTCTAGACAGTATAACAATCAAAAGACCTCAGGACAATTCATTGACTCTGGACTCCCATTCTAATTTAGGCTGGTAACTAAAGGCCCTCGAGGTAACTGTGCCTGGTGATCTCATCTTTTCACCCAAAAAATCACACCGGCATCTGGTCCCGGATGCGCCCGTTGCGCTGAATCATCGCGGCGCTGATTGGCGGAGGCCCGGATCACGGGAAAAGGGCTGTTGGGGCCGCTCTTCCCAGTAAGTACAAATTGCAATCGCAAGTTTTTCTGTCCTCCCCTTCTGCTTTCCCTTCTTCCCCCGGAATCTCCTCCGCTCAATCCAATTCCTTTGTACTTTACCTTCGTTACCTTTTTTAATACCCCTCACATCTCCCCTTTACACATTCAAAATGGGCAAGGACGCTGGTTTCGCTCCTGGTAAGCATTCCATTTGAAATTTCCCTGATCTCCCCGGTGTTGCGGCTCGTGGTCAGTGTCACCGATCATGCACTGGTCGCTTCGAAGACTCGGCTTGAACACAATGTCTTCGGGGCTTCCGGATGCATGGGCCAGGTGTTGGGTGGTGGTGTCTGGTCTCGATGTGTTATGATCATGGGTTCTTTGTCGGTTCTGTCGCCTTGACAATTTGTCGCTGCTTTGCCTCTTTGGCTGCAATTGCAAAGCCCATGAATCAGACCACAAGATTCCAAGACCAGCGATAGACCCAGGATCGTGACGAGCTTCGACACCTACTGTTTCCTCACTACAATCCACATGCGCGAGGCCGAGCTGGAGGCCTGCGAAAAGCCCCAGCAACCGGCAACACAAATGCTCATACAGACTGCGGCTAACATCTCCGGTTTTTCAGGTGACTCTGCCAAGGGTGCCAAGCTCTTCCAGGTGAGTTGATGTCTGCTTCTGCATACATTTTCTGGACTCGGTTGCTAACTCTGCATTTACCAGACTCGCTGCGCTCAGTGCCACACCGTCGAGGCCGGTGGTCCCCACAAGGTCGGCCCCAACCTCCACGGTCTCTTCGGCCGTAAGACCGGTTCCTCCGACGGCTACGCCTACACCGACGCCAACAAGCAGGCCGACGTCACCTGGGATGAGAGCACTCTCGTAAGCCCACCCTCGCGACCCGCGCACCAATCGTGATCAACTTGACTAACATGCTTCCTTCCAGTACCCCTACCTCGAGAACCCCAAGAAGTACATCCCCGGTACCAAGATGGCCTTCGGTGGTCTCAAGAAGGCCAAGGAGCGCAACGACCTCATCACGTACGTTCCTTCCTGCGATCGGTTCAGGCACCGTCAGCTAACGGATATGTTTCCTACAGTTACCTCAAGGAGGCCACCGCTTAGATGTCTTCACCTATGTGAAACTTTCTAGACCCCGACCGGGACGTACGGGTCTGCCTCGACTCTGCGTGCTGGAAACAGCCGGTCACTCGGTCGTCTCTGCGGCTTGGTCGGGTCATGTAACATTACCCTTTGATTACATGCGATAGACTTTGGAACCTTTGTGCGATGGAAGAAAAAAGAGGATGCTATAGAGCCTTTTGCCTCCTTCGCGACCGCTGTCTACTACACATATTCCCGATTGACGTTTTGTTTATTTTTTTTTCAGTTGTGACCAACGAATGCCCTGCTTTGTGTATGATGGTATCAATACTTTTTTTCTGTGAGACTATAATGAAAAAAGATCTCCTCTCATGACGCCATGCGCGCCGAAAGTGACCTCTAGGTGCGTCTGTGCTTTTTCCAGTTGCAGTAAATTGATGCGTTGGCCGAGTCTGGCGTTTCAGGATGATCAGGATCACGTGTGCCGATGGGTTGGCCGCGGTCGGCGGTCGGGCAACCGCCAGGCTTCAAGGTTCCCTGATTTTCCCGCCGTTGCTGGCCGAGAGAGCGGGTGGGTGAGTAGAAACATGAATCCATCAATCATCGACGGCCGCTGCGACAAGTTTCGACTGCAACGGCAATCTGGCGGATGATCCTTGCATCGTTGGAGAAGCATCTCGGCCACATGATTGGACCAGTTGTCCTGCTATAGCCTGCTACCGCACCGCCTGCTACCGCCATGACCAACTTGGTGCTTAGTTGGTGCACTTCCTCAGACAAACAGTCTATCTTTGCGCATTCAAAGTGCAGGCAAGCCATGATGCGAGTGCTGCCTCTCCCCGTTCGGATACTTCGGGCGGCACTGAAACCAAGGGATTTCCATCTGGTCAAGATGTGAGATAATCTGGGGACCGATATACAGTACAGTACGGAGTACGGTATGTACCACTGATCGGAACCCAGGGATGACCACGAATGACGCGAATCGGAAGATGTGACCGAGCACGATGGCGTGGCAGTAAGCACGACCGGACGTGTCGAAGCTGCTCAGAGTTCATCCGTACTGTACATCGGGAGTATCAGGCTTCTTTCTCCCCCTCCTCGCTCTGCAGCACTTCAGCCACAGCGTCCCTTTGCCCCTCCCCACTTGAGAGTTTCTTCACTGACTATCGCTATCGATAAACCCCCCCGTTCACAATCGATAGGGATGTATTCTTGGTTCAGGTCCTTCCGCCCTTCTTTGTTATCGCATTGATGTCCGCACGTTGTCTGCCCTTTATGCGATGGATGGAACAACGGAGGTTCTTGAGATGCGCTCCATACGCAACAACTTTGCGCACTCCCTTGGGCTTTCCCCCCACCATCGGTTTGTACCGGCAATCAGAAGAGAGAGGACATTTTGCAAGCTCCATCGACACTCCCTCTCCAAAGATAGTCGGTTTTAGCCCATCGCACATGACCCGGGGCTGGCCCACCACGATTGGTCCAGCCACCCCCCTCCCCTCCATTGTTTAAATACGGATTCCGAACCCCCCCCTCCGACCAGCGAGACATGCGAGGGGCGCGTATCATCTACTTGTACCTGGAAAAGAAACAGGTTACTTTACTTACTTGCCTCGAAACCCTGTGTGTGAAATCGCATTGATATTACTATACTTCCATCGCAATCTTATACTGCACCGACTTCGGACGGAATACTGAATACTTGCTTGCCTCAACGCATCCATCCCATCTTATCTATCTATATAGTCTATTCAGATCGTGTATTGACTATCTTACTTGCCCTCTACTAACCGCATCCCTCCATAGCTCCCCTCCCTGTCTCACACAGGTGGCACCCTCTCTTGCGGTGCCTGTGTCTGTGGCTCTGTGTCTATAGTGGTGGTTCATGCAAGCACCTCTCACAGTTGCTTTTGACGGTGTATTGCGGAGAACCCGCTGTGACTTGTCGCATCCCATAACCGTTTCTAAACACTGACTGACTGGTTGGCCTATTGACACACGCACACACTGCCGTCCATCCTCTATAATCTGTACTTGATCCTCTGTGAGGTCTTGCGCGCGTGCGATCGCTCACCCGTCTACTCTGGTGAATCCAGTTAATGATTCAGGGTGGCCCTCGTGGTCCTCAGGCACCCAGGCTAATTACTTACATTCACTTACGGTCCTCATTTCTAACTCTCTGATCGCATTCCATTCCCTGGTCTCACCTTCACTTTATCTTTTTAAACTCTGGGTAGACTTCTCTCTCCCCTCTCCTCCTTCCACTCACCTTCTCATCTCCTCACCTCCTCACCTCGCTCTCACATTTCATGCCTCCCCCCACCTTCCCCATCCATCCGCGCCTAGAACACAGCTCAGATCGTATCTAAGCGCGCTTGCGACTAACCATCTGATCAAGTCTTCTTGACCTTTTCCACCATTCGCGCAGTATCCTCGTCCGCGCAGTGCGAGGTGTCGTCCAGATCGTTGGCGCGATCAAGAGGATCCTTGGCTCTCGTGGCTATTCGTTGTGAAACACCGTCCCAGATGTTAGACGAACTCGATAACAACTTCGACGACCATCCGTCTCTGGATGCGTCGCTCGAGGATTTTGAAAGCAGCAGTAACACACAGCGTTCACCCCTCTTCAGTCTCTCATCGCAGCATTCGGGATTCCGCGAGGAGGAATCAGACCCAGACGATGAAGACCCCAATCCCAACACGGAGCGCTGGTCACCACCCGGCTTTCGCAGACACGATTACAATCCAGGAAGTGGTTGGTATCGCCACGAAGCGTATTCTCGCAGTCCGGAGAAGGAGCGCCCCGTCCTCAAGCCGACAGTTGGGGTGAGCCCGGCGCAATCGCGAGAAGGTAGCCCACAGTACGAGGATGCGGTCGAGGCCCCTGTGACAAAGGACCGCAAGCAGTCGTCCGCTATGACTGAGACCACAGCATGCGCGCCGACGGCCATGTCGCTACAGAGCCCCGAAAGGACCCAGACACGTTCGCCAAGCAGAGCTCCGGCTGGCGGGCAAGCTGGTCAGGACATTGAGGTGGACTTCGCACCCGAGCAGGATCTTAGTAGTTGTAGGTACCACTTCGGAGCACAACTCTATCCAGCGAGCTGGTATGGAATACTGACCTGTGACTTTTTCTTTGCATGAAGATATCCGGTTCCAAGTACGCGCCGAAGTTCAGCAACGTGAACCATTGGCGGCCATTTCCGGGTACCTGCGTGAGAAGTTTGATAAAATCACCAGCACCCGGACCAATACCCTCGTGTCCATAGTTGTCGCCCTGTTGTCCATAGGATTGATGCGCACCTTGTTTCTCCCGAACTATCCTCAGCCAATCCCTGACTTGGTCAAGCTATCCGGGTTTGCGCGCTCCTTTGAGCCCCTGATTTACTATTCGGAACATGGCGCGCAGCAGATCGAAGCCCTGCAGGAAACCGGTGTGGCGGTCTGGGACCTGAGCGAATCAGTTCGTGGCACCAACATGACCAGCGCGCCTATCATCGTGCGCCAGCTGGATGAACTGTCCGAGTCCCTCAAGTCACTGTCATTGGAGCTGACTCGCTTCTTCGCCAACGTCGATGCCGACTTTGACTCGATCCTGATTGTCATGGATTGGGCCAAACGCGAGCTGGAAGCGATCAATGCCCAACCGCCTAGCTCGTTGCCGACACTCATGTTTGATAACCTGCATGAGATTCTTGCGCGGTTGGGCACCATGGAACGGCCGATTGACCCCCACGATGCTCCTCCAGGTAGTGAGCTGGCGACTACACCCACCACATTCGGGCAAGTCGTGACAGCGGTCCTTGGACAAACCTCGGCGCAACGCACGCGCGCGACGCTCACTCGGACTTTTACGGAATTCTTGGGTGTGCTCGAAGAATGTATTAATACCGAGCTGCACCATTCCACCGCGCTCTTTGGGCTCTTTGAGTCTATCGATCGCCAGTTCCTGAATCTGCAACGGACCGTCGTTCGTGAGTCGGATGCGCAAGAACGAGAGGAGGGCGAGATGCTGAGTTCCCTGTGGACCCGTGTTCTCGGACCGGATGCCTCCATTGTTCGCAAGTACGAGAAGAATAAGCGGCTTCTTGCCAGCGTCCGTAGCCGAACTGTCACTAACAAGCACCTCCTGATGGACCATCGCGGACGCCTCCTCACACTCAAGGTGAATTTGGAAACCCTGCGCCGAAAGTTGGTCAGTCCGTTGGTGCGGCGCAACGATTCGGTCCGGTTCGCGGGTGGTGTTGAGGCTAGCAATAGTCACAGTCATGGACGCATGCTCGGGCCGGTCGGAGCCGTGATCGAGGGTCAAATCCGGGGCATCGACGGCAGCTACGAATACCTTCGAGGCGTTCGCGACAAGCAGAAAGCACGATTCATGGAGTTTGTCTTCGGCGCTGGGCGACGAATTCCGACAACCGCGATGCTAGCGGACGGATCCGAGGGCGATGAGGTGGAAGCGCAGGCCATTGACGAAGGTGGTGATTAAGTTGACAGACAGGCTCGAGACTTGTGCTTGACTGCGTAGCATGGCCAGGCGTTTTAATCTGTCATCATCTCGTCACTGCGTGTTCTTTCCCTCATCGTCATTGTCATCGTCATCGTCCATCTCTACCCGTTCACGCATCTATCGGAATACACGGCGTTGCATCTGATCCCTGCCGGTTAGCATTGTCTTGGTCTTGCTATGCATGTGACATGGTGGGGCGTTACATCTACAGGATCGTCCATCATCTGGTTGTGGGCATGGGCATGGTTCTTAGTATCTTCTTCTCTCTCTGGGGTACATGGTTGCGTCTCACGACATCACGGTTTCTGCTTATATCTATGGAGTGTACTGACCCGTTGGCGTCCATAGATTTGTCTCACTGACTGGCGTTCTTTTTTTCAAGTTGTCATCTCTCGATTTGTCGGGTTCTTCTTCTCTTCATGTTTCAATTCGTCTTCGAGGGGCTTCTTTGATTGATCTTGATTGCAATTATATTTGATGATCGACGATCGATTTGATCCGGCGAATTCAAGGCGATGGGACAATGAGGAGGGAGGGAAAATCTTTTCTCAAGAGATAGACAAACAGGAAATGGTGCTATCATTGCTCTGCTTTTAAGGTTATGGGGTTTCGATTGTCCTCTTCGAAGTGCTACCAGTCCTCCGGTCAGGATTTCTTTCTTTCTTTTTCGGTGCAGATAACATTGAAATGGATGGGGCTTCTGTTTTGGTTGGGTATAGGTAGTCGCTCCCCGGCCCTCGTCGCGGGTTTGACTACTCTTACTTTCTTTGTCTGGTTGGTGTATGTAGGGCGAATGGGAGGCTGGGAAGTGGTTTGGGTTGGGTGGTTGTTGTTATCATGGATGGCCGGGCGTGCCTCGTTCCTTTTTCTTTCTT